TTGGTAATGGTACTTTATGTGATGGATTATATAAATTATGTCTTGATAATCTTTATGCCGAAACACTTATGACTCTGCATCATAATCTTGGTACTAAATGTACCTTAATTAACGAATGTTCCGCTTACTTGTGGCACAAACGTTTGGGACATATTTCCAAAGAAAGGATGCAAAGATTGGTGAAGAATGAAATCCTTCCGGATTTAGATTTTACTGATTTGAATTTTTGTGTGGATTGTATTAAAGGAAAACAAACAAAACACACAAAGAAAGGAGCCACAAGAAGCACTCAGCTTCTTGAAATTATACACACTGATGTATGTGGTCCGTTTGATGTTAATGCCTTCAATAAAGAAAAATATTTTATCACTTTCATTGATGATTATTCACGTTATGGTTATATCTATTTGTTGTATGATAAGTCTCAAGCTGCAAATGCTTTGGAGATTTATATTAATGAAGTTGAAAGGCAATTAGACAGAAAGGTGAAGATTGTCAGGTCTGATAGGGGTGGTGAATATTATGGAAAGTATGATGAAAGTGGACAACATCCGGGTCCATTTGCTAAATTTCTGGAAAAGAGTGGTATTTGTGCTCAATACACAATGCCCGGTACACCGCAACAGAATGGTGTATCAGAAAGGCGTAATAGGACCTTACTGGATATGGTTAGGAGTATGTTAAGTAATTCTTCTTTACCTGTTTCGTTGTGGACTTATGCTCTAAAAACTGCCATGTACGTATTGAATAGGGTTCCTAGTAAGTCAGTTCTAAAGACTCCTTTTGAACTTTGGACTGGAAGGAAACCTAGTATAAGACACCTGCATGTTTGGGGTTGTCAGGCAGAGATTAGATACTACAATCCGCAAGAAAAGAAACTGGATGCAAGGACAATCAGTGGTTATTTCATTGGTTATCCAGAAAAATCGAAAGGGTATAGATTTTACTGTCCTTATCATACTACAAGGATTATTGAATCTGGAAATGCAAGATTCATTGAAAATGGTGAAGTTAGTGGGAGTGAAACACCACGTAAAGTGGATATTCATGAAGTGAGAGTACAAGTTCCATTACCTTGTAGCTCTAGTAAAGTTATTGTTCCTTATGCTATTGAACCAATCAATAATAATGAAGGACAAGTTAATGATCCCACTACTCATGAAGAGATCATTGTTGATGAACCGAATGAACCCATAGTAGAAGAACCACAACAAATAGCATTAAGAAGATCTCAAAGAGAAAGGAGACCTGCTATTTCTAATGATTATGTGGTATATCTACAAGAGTCTGAATTTGACATGGGTATTCAGGATGATCCAGTAACGTTTTCACAAGCCATGAATGGAGAAAATGGTGATAAATGGTTAGATGCTATGAAAGATGAGTTGAAATCTATGGAACAGAATAAGGTCTGGGATCTTGTTGAGTTACCAGAAGGGTGTAAGAGAGTTGGTTGTAAATGGGTCTTTAAGACCAAACGTGACTCTCATGGTAACTTGGAACGTTACAAGGCCAGACTAGTTTCAAAAGGATTCACTCAGAAAGATGGCATTGACTATAAAGAAACTTTTTCACCAGTCTCAAAGAAGGATTCTTTAAGAATTATTATGGCATTGGTGGCTCATTATGATCTAGAGTTACACCAAATGGATGTGAAAAATGCCTTTCTAAATGGAAATTTAGATGAAGATGTGTACATGGACCAACCAATGGGGTTCATAGAAAAGGGTAAAGAGCACATGGTGTGCAAACTTAAGAAGTCAATATACGGACTTAAACAAGCTTCACGGCAATGGTACCTTAAGTTCAATGATACTGTTGTTTCCTTTGGATTTAAAGAAAACATTGTTGATCGATGTATATATCTGAAGATCAGTGGGAGCAAGTTTATCTTATTGATTCTGTATGTTGATGATATTTTGCTGGCAACTAACGATCTTGGTCTTTTAAATGAGACTAAGAAGTTTCTCTCTAGTAACTTCGAAATGAAAGATATGGGTGAGGCAGCTTATGTGATAGGAATAGAAATATTCCGTGATAGATCACAAGGACTGTTAGGTTTGTCTCAGAAAGCATATATTAATAAAGTTCTAGAGAGATTCAGAATGGAAAACTGCTCATCATCTTCAGTTCCAATTCAGAAAGGAGATAAGTTTAGTCTCATGCAATGTTAGTCTCATGCAATGTCCTAAAAGTGAATTGGAATGAAAAGAAATGGAAGCAATTCCATATGCATCATTAGTTAGGAGTTTAATGTATGCTCAGACTTGTACGAGACCAGATATTAGCTTTGCAGTTGGGATGTTGGGTAGATACCAAATTAATCCCGGTATAGATCATTGAAAAGCTGCAAAGAAAGTTCTGAGATATTTGCAAGGAACTAAAGGTCACATGCTTACTTATAGAAGGTCTAACAACCTTGAAGTGATTGGATACACAGATTTGGATTTTGCAGGATGCGTAGACACAAGAAAGTCTACATGTGGTTACCTGTATCTTTAGCTGAATGAGCTATATCATGGAAAAGTGCGAAGCAGACTGTAATAGCTGCATCCACTATGGAAGCTGAATTTGTGGCATGTTTTGAAGCCACGATTCAGGCTAAATGGCTACGGAATTTTATTTCAGGACTTGGATTGGTCGACAATATTGAAAAGCCGCTGAAAATTTATTGTGATAATTCCGCAGCAGTCTTCTTTTCTAAAAACGACAAGTATTCCAAAGGTGCTAAACATATGGAATTAAAGTACTTTGCCGTTAAAGAAGAGGTTCAGAAACATAGAGTGTCTATAGAGCTTATTAGCACCGATCTTATGATAGCTGATCCCTTGACGAAGGGATTACCGCCCAAGACATTTACTGGTCATGTATGTAGAATGGGCATTATGTCAGCTAGTGAATGATGAAAATTATAGTTATGCATTAAGTGTTGACACTCTGAGCTCATTGATGAATATATGTTTCTGTTATTGTCTTATTTTCAATTTATGTATGCATGCAAGTATATCTAATGATATTGAAAATAATTATGGTCCGTTATGAAGACATTATTGTTGGACATAATGTACACTTCCTATTAAAGTATCATGTTAGGAAGAAGAGTCAATATAGTAGTACATGGAAGGGACTATGCCGACTTGATAGCATACAACCGCCATGACTCATGTTGATTTTATTTCTAATAATGAATTATGATGACGTCAATGTATGGAACCTTTAGCCTAGTAAATGCGCATTATAGTGAATGTTAATTAAATCATGAAGGGACACCTTATGACATGAGCCAAGTGGGAGAATGTAAAACTATTTGTGTCTCATGTGAAACGTGTGTCAATTAGTTTAATTAATAATAAAAGAGGCTTTATGGTAATTGACGTTTCGCATTAATGGTAATTGACGTTTTGACGTTTTGCATTATGGTAACGTTTTGCATTAATGGTAATTGACGTTTTGACGTTTCGCATTAATGGGAAGTTACAGGGAGTTATTTGAAACTCCGTAACTGGTGACATGGTTCAGTTATATAAAGAGAAAAATGGTGAGTCTCTGATGATGATTATCTCTCAGAATTCTCTCCTTCATGGTCTGCCCATAAAAGTTGTATCAGATCCCTGTCATAGACGATACAAGGAAAGCAGAGGGTAAAGACTCTGAGAAACTCTGAGAAACAATTTTCCATCATAAAAGATCTTCCGCAATTATGGACAAAGGTATGTTTGTGTGAAACTCATGAATTCTAAAGATCCTATGTCATGTTCTTGACTGATTACTGTTGAACATGAATCATGAATTACTGATTAAATTGCTTACAGATTAGACTCTGATCCTAATTAATTATGGAAAAAATCATGAAATATAATGGAATATGGAAATATTCCTAATTGATCGTATAAGCCATAAGGTACTCCAAATTCCAAAATATTTTAAGGATATAATAATGATATTATGAGATATTTTCTAGATATTCTACCACTTTTTCCTCAAGTTAAAGTGTAATTTACTATTAAACATACTAAAATATATACAGAGCCAGACTAAATCTGGGACTGAGCCAACCAATGAAAAGATATGCTACAATAGGGCCAATTTGAGAAAGGACAGGCTAAATTGGAGCCCATTGATGAAAGGACAGGCTAGAACGGAGCCAACCTGCAGAAAGACAAGCTAACATGGAGCCAATTATGGAAAAAGAGGTTGAAACGAAGTCAATCTGCATAAATAAGCTAGAACAAACACATCGTCGCAGAGGAGAGATCGAGAGCAAACAAAAACATAAAATATGAGTTTGGTGGTAATCAAGTCCATGAACTCAACACAATGGAAGGGAGGAATTATTCTCAAGGTCAATATCAAGGCTCTGATACCATATTGAAACTATTGGAATTTAGGTAGGAAGGGAGAAAAGGAGTTAAGACTCTCAATAGTATTCTATGAAATCAAGAGGTGTATAATGATGGGATAAGATGTGATACGAAATATAAAGTATTAACCCTTATTCATACTAATAATTAATTAAGAAAAAAATCATGAAATTCTATACATTATGGAAATTCTCCTTAGAGATTATTTAAGATACTCTAAAATATTCTAAAAGATACAATAATAATATTTCTTAGAAATTCTAACCGTATATCATATGTCCCACAACTTCATCAATCCTGCAGACATCCTTTAAAGAAATCCACAGTACTTTAATATGTATATAATCTTTTTGTCAATAAACCATTATATAAACATAACACTTTCCCAGTTGACCTCCAAATGATATGCGTGAGCTTAATCTTATTCTTAACAAATCTACCCCAAAAGCATTGTCATAATACACATTGGAGATAAATAGAACATTTATGGTAAATGTACCGCACTTTACACATGAAAAAGGAACAAACAAGAAAACTCAGATTATTGCACCTTGTTTATTTTCGTAAACCTACTAATATTATTGGATGCAAAGTTATGCGTAACTAGAAACATTAAAGAAATAAACAAGAAAACTCAGATTATTGTACCTTGTTTATTTTCTTCAACCTACTACTGTTATTGGATGCAAAGTTATCCCCAACTGCATCTAAAACAACTTCCTCAGTTCCCTCTGCAGTGGCCTTCTCAATAACACTATATCTCTTCTTTTGCAAAAACTTCATGAGAGCCATAAGCATATTATGGCTCATTTTTTTGGACTCAAGTTCTGCATTCTCATCAGATTCTGACATATGAGATGCTGGAGAGGGTTCCATATCATCTGACAAAGCCGAAGAACCTCTCGAGAGATATAAAGCATCCTCAGAAAAGTCTACCAACTTCTCCAACTCATGAACAATAGTTGTCTTTGGAAGGACAATGGATGGATACAGAGAAAGCACGTAAGTTATATCTACTTGAGATGCCAGAAAATGTTCCATTGCCTCCTCATAGCTGCCATTGTCAAAAAGGTAGTGGGCATATCTGTATCATAATAAGGCAAAACACATTTAGCAACAAATTGGGAAAAATGCAAAATAAGCAACGATAAACATGTAAAGATTTATGTAACAATGTACTTTGCAATTTACGTGTTAACTACTAAGTGTAAATTAATGAAATGCAAAAGATTCCACCGAATAAAGTTACCCTTACCATTACTGCAGACCTCATTACGTAATCCACATTAATAGCCCATTAACTATATGCTTTCCGGTATTCTAGGGCTTTCATGCATAGTTGAAATGACCTGACATACAGTTTAACCTTTCAATATCTTATTTTGCTCTCAATTCTATAAAGTTGAAACATGGACTCTTAACTTCTTGACAGATGGCATGACCATTGTTTTTCACGAAGAGTTTAGTTTATGTTAATTATTAATTATGAATAATAATTATAAAATTATCACAGAGTGTAAAGATTAATATTTATTATATATCTATATAACCTATTATGAAATAATACTAACTATATAATTACATTATAAAAATTATTTGTACCGAAACAATATAAAAGCCATTTTTACAATTTATATGAAGATAGATAATAATGAACACAATATAGACAGAAATTGAATTCTTTTATCACTTGACTTTTTTTTTCTTTAAAATTTTTTCTTTCTCTTTAAATTACAATGATCAAAATTATTAGATATAAAATACAGTCTGAGATATTTCTTTTGAAATATAAGAATATTTCAATTGCATAACCACACCTGGTCAAATGATACATAATCGAAGATTTCGTCATCATTTTAAGTCCTTTATCAACAAATAAAAAAGCAAATACTAAAGTGGTCTTATATTTGGAGGTGGGGGTAGTGGCCAGTGGTACCAATAAAATTTACTAACTTGATAGGTTATCTGCATAGCAGATTTCAACTTAAATTAATATCTCAAAACAAGCCAAAAGTAGCTTTCATAAGGAAAACTTAGAGAGGAATGTAACATTAGACATTTTTTTCCTTTACATGAGGTAACATGATAAGATCGATCCCAAGCCCTAGTCAACATTAGGAGAGCTGATTTTTTTTTTCAAGCATGACTGTTATTGAATCCTACGACTTTTAAGACCAAAAAGCCAGTAATTAATATTCATGATTCCAGAATAAATTCAAATTTGGACTGCCAGCTAATTGTTTCTGAGAAATATGATGAACTTAAAATACAATGAGGCATGTTATATTGCTTACCAGTTGAATCTTCCTACCTCTACTACCATTTTTTGTACAGTTGGAAAATATCTAAATAAATGGCTTCTAAGCACACTAGATCCCACTACTTGAAGAGAGAGAAAAAAGAGAAGAAAGAGAGAGAAAGCAGTGGGACCCAGTATGCCTGGAAGTCATTGATTTAGATACCATCAAATGGTGCAAAAGTGATACTAAATATAGGGAGATTAAATTGGTAGGCAAATTTAAGGAGGAAAATTATCTGGTCTGTTTCTTTTATGGCAATGAACCTTATATGAATTGAACCCTCCTTTGCAGTGCGAAGATTTGAATCTTCAGGTGGAAAGAGCTTGCACAATGACAAGGCTTCTTCAAAGTTTCCAGAGGCTGTTAATTGGACAATCTGCAATGTTATAGAAAAATCCTTATCTTATGATCTCATAATAAACACACAAAATTACAATATTAGATAACAAAGTATTGTAAACGAAAGTATAGTGTTTCACTGTTTTCTCATTTTCACTAGAATCCAAAAATAGGTACCACATCATGGAAATCAATCATTTAGCAAGATTTGTGATACCTGAGCTCCAAGAGGAACAGGAAAGAGGCCATGAACAGAATTATCTAAAGCAAGAATCACAGAATTATTGCTTTGGCGAAGATGGCGTACATTTCGAAGAACTACTGTTTGTATCAGTGGATATGGACCTCGAAGAGATCGAACCTGCAAAATGCAAGCAATACAAAGAACATAGATGCAAAACCTATTACGCACTGAAATAAAGAACCAGAAATTTATTCTTGATGAGCAAACGGTCTGACAACAAATGCTTAGTTACCTCCACAAATCTAGGCAGCAGTGCTATAGCATACGGATTCTGAATTACAACTTCTGCTGGGGCCTCTGACCAACAAATCCTACCTTCTGGACGAAGTTTCCCATTTTGGTCCACAATGACACCAATGTTCTCCTAAAAATGCATCAGAAGAATATTAGCTTATCGGACTGAACAAAATGAACAATATGAAGTAGGAGGATTAGAAAAGATGACATCAAAATAAAATAAAACCAAGTAACTTAGATATTGCATATGGCTTCTAAATAACAGTCAGCACAACCTCTGACCAAATAACCTTTCCCATTCCATTTACAGTTTAAATTTGTCCCACTAATATTTTGGTTAATGTTATTAAAGTATGAAAAGTCATAAGGCTTATGAAATTACATTTGTTTGCAAAAAGTCAAAAACAAAAGTAAACCAAGAAGTATGTGAAGTTAATTAACAAGGCACTAAGGGAAGAAGTTTAAAAGGGGGCTTCTAAAGTTCTAATTGAAAATGCACTCTTAATTTTCGAATAAAATAAAGGAAATGAAAATCTTACAAGAGGGAAAATGCCTGATGCTCTAACAGACCAACTATTTGTTAGATTTAGAAGGTCTTGGTGTGTTTAGAACTTAGAATCCTTGTATTTGTGGTTGTTAGACTCACATTTAATCCTGGAGGGTTACTTGACAAGGCCACGTCTATGGAGCATAGCTCCAGGTAGGGCAGAGATGAACCCTTAAGGACAGTGCTAAGCACCATTAGTTGTATCCCCACTCCAATCTTCATCTTCTATTTGTTCTGTAAATATTTTGTTTGCTCTCCTCTGCTCGCACAGTAGCTAAATTTCAAATATCCACATCAACATTTCCCACACTATTATCTATCAAGCTTGGCTGAACATATTTTCTTAACATTGTTCCTTTGAAAACTTTTCACAGAAAATGTCTTGGGTCAGGCAAAGATGTATGCTAGTAAATTTATTATAAACTATCTACATAAGCGAAAACAAATATTTGACACAAATGTAAGCAAAAAGAAATCATGGAAGAATATATATATATATATATATATATATATATATATATATATATATATATAAATATGGCAAGATCAATTTACACAGTATAAGAATAAGAAGTCTTATGCTTAATCTTAGCCATTGATCCGCTTTCATCTAATGGCTCATATATTTGATAAATTAGAACCATTAAATATAAATAGAATCAACGATTAAGATTGAAAGCGTAATTTACACGGTATAAAATGATCATGACCCATATAAATATATAACATATACCAACATAGCCAATATTGCTATCCAACATATATAAGGCCATTGCCAACATGGCAAGGAAAAGTAGAACGTGCATTTATTACACAAACTATATTCTAAAGCACCTTGTGCAACTAGGAAGTGTGAAACAAGTATCATAGACATATTACATATATAAAATCAAGAGTCTAACAAGTAAAAAAGCCAACAAAATTGGCTAGCCAAGAAGGCAAGAACTAAATACCTTGCCAAGAAGAAGTTCTCCCGAAGGAAGAGAGACTGCTAAAGGAGGCGCTAGCCTCCCAGAAGTAAAAACCTCAGACAATGCACCATTTGTAGTATTCAGAATCACATATTCTTTTCTAATCCCCAAACATATGTTCTCACCACACCAACACATGGACTTCACCACATCAGGAACACCAAAGTCTTTCACCTCCACAAATCCTCTACCACCTACACAAAACACCAACAAGAAGTAATCGTAACACATAACCTAGCTAGTTCTCCGCAACGCAGGAATCGCGATCAAATTTCAACAATCTGAATTAAAATTAATTAAAAAATATATGTAAATAGTATTGAGTGAACGGAATTACCATCGTGTCTGAAAACATAGACACGCTTTTGCCTCGAGAAGCACAAGAAGCCTCTACGATCGTCCCAGCAGAAGGCATTGGCGCCTTTCGCCTTGGTGATTACGGCTATGGTTTCGAAACTGGGAAGCCTGTGAAACGCGATGGATTCGGAGAGCGAGAGGAGCACTTCTCTCGATTCCACGACCTGCATTGACACCAGAGGCTTCTTCGCGAAGCCATTCAAGCTTCTCTCCAGCACGTAAGCCTCCTTCCGCAGGTCCTCCGGCGCCGCCGTAGCCGGCGGAGAGCGGTTGGAGTCCGGGGCGTAGATGAGTAGAGAGCCGTCGGAGCATCCGAGGAGAATATTGGAACCGTAGGATTCGATGGATTCGATTTTGGAAGGGCAATCGTGGAGGAGTTCGAAGGAATCGTAGGCGCTGTGCACCATTTTCGTGCTTCTTTCTCTATTGAATTTGAACTTGAACTCTTCTTATTATCAAGGAAATGACACAAGACGACGCCGTTTGATGCATCAATAGCGGGCATTTTCGTAGTTGAGCATCAGCCTGGGAACGCTTCTGGTGCTCGCGTTGGTTGTTCACAGTGAAGACAACTGGCTAACGAACGCAGCAACGGCCATGCGGGGTCTTCTCTTTACATTTTTATTTTTCGTTATTAATTAATATTTTGTAAATTAATTAGGGATATATTAATCTCATGTTACAGGTGATAATTTATTAAGTCATAAATACAAAGGGTTATTGTTTATCTCATTTAACATGAGATAAACAACTTTCCTATAAACACAAAAAGTATTGAGTTTCACCACTTTTTTTTTTCTTTCCTTTTACAGTCTCATTAATTTTATTTCTATAATAATGAAGTAACTTTTTTTATACAATATAAAAAAAGTATTTCCCAGGGGCCATTGTTTGTAAAAAGAAAAAACTTAAAGTGACTCGCCTTTTTATTTGCATAAGAGAGGGAATATTTTCCAATAACATGAAAATATATATTTTCAATTAAATTACTAAGTTTGTGTTATAAAATTAGAGAAATATAAAGATTCTGTTGCATGAAATTTCATGTCATGCAAAAGAGACAATTATTGTGGGGCCACCGATCTGTGAAAAAATAAAAGAAAAAAAAGAGCAGCTCTGTATTTTTCTGGATCAATAGGACAAAATCCTTTTTTCCTACCTGACAGATACAAAATCCATAAAATTAAGAAACGTAAAATAATATGACAATAAGTTTAAGTTTTTTTTTTTATGTTCATGTTAATTAGTTTTGTTATTATGATTTTATTGCTTAATGTATTGTTTAAAAGTTCATGTTTAAGTTGTGGATTTATTGTTTCTCTCAATAGTAGATATTTTTTATCTCCTACACATTTATAAAAGTTAATAAAATTTATATTTTTTTTTTCCGCCTCTTATACGGGTTCACGTATTTTTATGTATATGTTAGAATATGAGAAATAATAGATCATATCATTATTGATGGCAGGAGATTCAATTTAGTCTTCACGAGCTTGACGAAAAATAGGGATGCCGAATAAGCTATGACATATAAAAGCAACGACTGAATGTTATTTAATTTGTTAGTTTAAAGGCTAGAAGTGGGTTGGGAAGGATTGGAGATTCGGTTGAGAGTTGTAAGTTGCATGGATACTATCTAACAGTTAGTGTTATGTCATTCTCATAAAAAAACGGCCTCATCTTATTTTCTTTTCTTTTTTCTTTTTTTTTAAAACGAGACCCACATCAAATATATTAGAGTAAGATGACACTAAAAATATTCTACAACATAATATATATAAAACCTTTTATTTAATTATTTTAATACCACCAGTTAGCTGGACTAGCTCATTTAACCTATAATTAAACAAGCTGATATTTTTTTAATTTATTTTAAATTGATTATAAATTTAAAGAATCCAAACTTATCTAAGCTTCAAATTATACGATTCAGGCCTTTGTCATCACAAATCCAAGCTATAGTTTTTTTTTTTTTTTTTTAACATGAAGGATTTCAATTATATATTATGCATAATTGAGTTGATAAATAGTCAACGATATAATAATAGGTCAAGTATATTTTTTTTATTTTCGAGAAGAACGTGGCATTAATCTAGGGGGGCGTTTGGTTGAAGAGAAATTTTTTGAATACTAGAGAAATAGAATTGATAGGAAAATGGTAAGAAAGTGAGATAAAGTGAGATAGATAGGAAAATGTAAAAAAAAGTTGTTTGGTGGGAAAAAATTTTAATGGGAAAATTAGGTAACTTTTATGAAATCTATGTTTGGTTGTAGGTAAAATATAGATGGGTAAATGCAGTAGGTATTACAAAAATAACCCTCACTTTAAATATTTTTTAATGAACAGTGCACAACAACATATAATTCTTATCGAATTTATTATCTTCTGAGTAACAGGAAAGCTCTATAAATTCTTGAAGCACAAGGCTTCAAGGTTTGAAGCATTCTCTCTCTCTCATATAAAATAGCCTTGGATTTGGCTTCTCTATCAAGAAAAGAATAGCAGAGAAAGCAAGCTTATTATAGCGTTACACAGAAATCAATCAAAATATGCATCAATGGCAACTGACCACGAAGAAGATATCAAGGATGAGAAGAATCCCCGACCCCTCGACGAGGATGACATCGCCCTCCTCAAAACCTATATAACTTCTTCTTCTTCAAAACCCTATTTTTCTAATTTTTGCTTTACAGATCTGCTTTCTTGTATGAATCTTAGGTTTACAGTTTTCACTATCATTTTTTATTCTACTGCTACTACGTTTCATTCGATAAGTATTTTTCTGAAATTTTACCTTGTCACCCTACTTCGCATGAAATTCCTGCAATTTTTGGTCTTTGGAAAGTGACATATCAAAGCTGAAGTCTGCAAATAGACTTGCTACTCAGTTGTCGTTTCACGCGCAAACAAGGGCTACGATGGTCTTTTATTAAGTATGCACAATGGACAAATTCGGTGGTTTTCAGGAACTCCACCTTGCAAAAGGGAAACTTTGGCCAGCAATTTTGGTAGAAAAGGATGGGGAAATCAGTTTGGTAGCAATCATAGAAAGGGGCTAAATCAAAAAGTTCCCTCAACCAAACGCTCCTTTCTTACATTCCCACCACCCATTTATCTATCATTCTCAAAATATTCCTTCAACCAAACAGCCCCTAGTAGAAAGAATGAAATGAATGCACTTTATATTGATTAAAAAGTTTAAGATGCAGTATACATTTTGACAAAATTGTGTAAATATAAGTAGTATTTAAATGCTTATTATTTTATGTATTAAAAAAATGCTTATTATTTTATCCCCTACTCCAAAGCTCGGAAAACTGAAGCGAAATAACTCTCTTGGCATAACTCCACCCTTCTTCCAAAATAGGAACCAACAACAAGGAAATAGTATAATTTTTTAAGAATATCATAACTATTCTAACTAGGGCAGGCATCAAACACAAAAAGGTGGTCCCGGCGGGGCTCGAACCCGCGACCTTCGGCTCATAAGACCAACGCTCTAACCAACTGAGCTACGGGACCACAATGCTATTTGTTAATAATGTATCTTTTTCTAAAAATAACATTTATTTTAAATACCTTTTAAATCATATCTCAAAAATAAATTTAACTTATATAATAACAATATTTTTTTTTGTTCGAATGATTTTACAACCTTACAAGTCATTACTACATAATTAAAATAATAATTTTTTTAGAAAAATATTGATACAACACTAAATATAGATGATAATTTGAACTAGAAGTTTGTTACGCATATATTTTTTTAAACTTTTTCTTATATAAAAGCAGAGAAACTTCATAATTTGCTTCTCATGTGCCATGCCTTGCCAAATTTTCGTCTCTCGGCGGAGATAACATTCGCACTTATACTTTAATTTAATTATAAATGTGAAATTACAATAAATAAACTGAGAATACATTTTAACCCAAAATCTTAAATGATACGTTTATGATCTTTCACATTTATATGGCACACTTGGTTCAATTTTAGCCGATATAAAATTTCACCGCAACTCAGGTTTGAATATTTCCAACGTATTATTCGAGCTTGTCAATTTCAAAGTTTCAATAATTGAAATTCTGAAATTCTTCTGAAAACTGTTTACTTCTGATGCTCGTCTAAACATTTTTCAGCAGATGCCAAGCACATATACAACGGGAAGTATATGGGAACATTGCCTTAATTGTCTCCCTCGGGTCCTATTTTCATCTATACGATATCCCCTTAGGTTCTTTCTTATACATTACATCTAAGAAAGTGTCTAACACACATTTATACATCTCCTGATCTCCACTCGCTAATCAACCAAAGCACATGCAAACACACTTGTTTAGCTTGATTCGTAGATTGAACTAACCCAACAAAACATCCCTACAAAACAGTATAATAGGCCATTGCCTAGTAGTTAGGGGTGAAAGTGAGTTAGGTCGAGTTTTGTCCCAAAAAACTCAAGTTTATGTCAAAAATTTTCAATTTAACCTGCTCCAATAGCATAGTATGAGTTTAACTATTAGTCTAGTCTGACCCATTTATAAAAAAACAAATGGTCTGACCTGACCTGTTAGCTTATTAATTTTTAACTTGCAGAACATAAATTAACTTCACAAAATACTCAAATTTTGTTATTAAAACAAAAATCACAATTTCAACTTTAAACAAAACCATGAATCACAACAATAATTTATCATAATCTGCATTTAAGTCACTTTTAGAAGCAAGATGCCAAAAATTAAATAATATATATTTCATCAAATCCAACAAGTCAATCCATAATATGTAAATTAAGATAACTCAATGAATCCAACAAATGCATCATGATGCTTATAGTAGCCAAAAACTTCTCATCATCTTCTCTCCCTGCAAATACAATTCCTAAGTTACATAAGTTGACAAACAATTTGTAAATGTAGAAAACAAAAAACAAGTTAAAGAATAGAGAGAAAAAAAAAAGAATTAAAAACAAAAAAACGTTTTTATACCTTTTGTTTTTTCTTCAAACCATACTTATTACGTAGTCAATCTCCACCATATATTAAAGCTTGGATGGTATCTTCAGCCAAGCTAGAACGATAGGCATTAATAACTCTTCTTCCAGCACTAAATGTTGCTTTTGATGGTACCGTAGAGATCGATACAGATCTTATGTCACTTCCAAAGGTAGTATTGGTGGGTATCGAACATAAGTCCTTCACCACCTACTCAGCTCACATGCACTAACTGAACTATCATCATTTGTTCCTACTATGAATAGTATTATTTTATTTAATATAAAATAAATAATAAGATATAGGCCAGGCTGTAGGTTTATAGGTCCGACATGTACAAAAATGTATATATGACCTGCTTTTTAAATAGACTTTTTTAAAAGCTCAAGCCTGTTCTATTTGACTATATGTAATAGGCCAAGCCTGACTTGATATAGGAAAGGTCGTAAGTCCTTGTAGGCCGGCCCGACTCACTTTCACCCTTACTAGTAGCGGCTGAGTGTCGTAGAGGTTATATTTACAACGTAAGAAGGAACACATGAGGGATGGGGGACAAGGATGCTGGTTGAAGGACGCATGCATTGTTGTAAAAAGATCAGTGTAAAAACGTAAAAAATTACTTATTTACCGAAGTGATACGTGCTAAAACGCAAGTAAAAACTCTTATTAGTAAAATTTGGTATAATTATCATGTAAAAATGGTAGAAATGCAAGTCTCTACGTGTTTACTTAAAAAAAAATGAAATGGGTCTCGTGCAAAAAAAAAAAAAAACTAAACCAGGTCAATTTTTAACCCATGTCAGGTTTTTCTTTTTATAAAAAAAACCTATTTCTATTTCCCCTAAATCAAAATGCACAGTATCTTCTTCTAATTATCTGGACAAAAAAAAATCCATGAACGAGGTCGCTTTTGCAGAGAAAGAAGAGGGTGAAGTCAATGGTGAAAAGTTTGAGTACCAAGCTGATGTGAATTTCAAATCAATCTATTAAGTTTTATTACAAGTGAACTTGTTATAGGAGCAAGAGAGGAGGACATACAACTGATGCAAGATGATGTGTTTGATTTGAATCAATTGATATAATTTAGGAGTTGTTAAACTTTATTTTTTTGATGTTTTGGAACTTGGTTGCCCGAGTTATTAAACTTTTTGTGTTTTTGAACTTATATCTTATATAATTATGTGACTTATATCTTTTAAATATAAAGTTGTTCATTGAATTTTGAGTAGTGACTTATGTGATATTTTATTATATATATATATATATATATATATATATATATATATATATATATATAGGGAAATAATACTCTCATGCTACATGAGAATAAATCATTTTCTTAGAAAAATTCGTTTTTCGTGCCAATTAATTTTTCTTTTCTTTTTAAATATAAAATATGTGACCCACATTTAACTTCTCTCTACTTTTTTTCTTTCCTACAATCCTACGTCATAAGAAAACTTAAACCCATATATATAGCAGGATCTTCTAACACTGGTATAAAAATAATAAATCTTACATTCAATCTTAATTGTTAATTTTTGTAAATTTGACGCTTGTGACTTATTAAAAATTAATAATTAATTAATAAAAATAACCCAATCAATCTTGACTATTTAATTGGCGGAAATCAACGGTTAAGATTGAGTGTAAGAGTTATTATTCTTACACCGGTATAAGTTGATATTATATATATATATATATATATATATATATATATATATATATATATAATATTGTATCTTGACTTTAAGTAATAATTTTTTTATGTTTTGTCTTATTTTTATGATTTATGTTTCAATCATCAAAAATTTTGATTTTAACATACGTCATTTTAGAGTTTTTTTTTTTTTTTTTTTTTTTTTTGGTGGTGGGGTTTTTTAAAAATAATATTAACATTGAGGGAGGCACAGTCAAATTCCGATTTAAAAGAATCCGATTTATTATTCAGTGTTTAAACGGACTTAAAATCTAGATGATTTTTAGAGTCCGTTTGTTTTGCCTCATCAAAAAAATAATTTTTATTTCTTTCTTATTTTAAAAATATTTTTTATAAAAGTTAAAGCTATTTTTATTTTTATAAAAATATTAAATTTTAGAAAAAAATATTAAAATTTTTAGTTTATGAAAAAAAAGTAGATTTTTTTTTATGACTTCAAAAAATAAAAAGTACTTTTTTTTCAAGAAATTTTTTTTTTATAAAAAAAAATCCATGCAAACTGCTCTTAATCCTTCAATATATCCAATTAAGCAAGTGACCCTTTTGACCGGGTCATGATGTCTCTTTGAGGGTGTTTGGTTGAGGAGAAATTTTTATGGATAATAGAAAAATGTGATTACTAAAAAAATGATTGGGAAGTGAGTTTGATAGAAAAATATAAAAAAAATTATTTGGTTGAGAAAAATTTTACTGAAAAAATTAAATAACTTTTGTAAAATCTATGTTTGACTTTTGATAAAATATAAATGGAAAAAATAATTGATATTACGAAAATAAACTTGTTTTTAAAAAAAATTCAATCAGCTGCCCTCTACCCGTAAAAAGGGGTTATCCTTTGGGACTTGTGGGTTCTCCAACAGATCCTCTTTTATTCTGCACTATCTGAGTTACCCAACCCAACTGAATTGAAACAGTCAGCCAACTCAACTCCGAACTGAGACATGTTTCAACCCAGCACCAACAATGTGAGTTTATCTCTCTCTCTGCATGCTCATCCAATTTTATCTATCTTGTGTTGCTGCTGAAAAAATGCGAGAAAACGAACTTAACAATTCAGTTTCCATTGTTGACGCTCCAAGCTTTTTCGTCCTCTTTTCCCCTAGTTGACGCAAACAGAGGATACACTCGTCTTTTGGTTAGTATGCAGTGTGAGCAAATATGGAGCTTTTCAACAATACCACATAGGAAGAGGGCAACTTTAACCGGCTATATCAGTTGAAATAAATATGCAAATAGGTTTGGTAAGATTTAGATTTAGGTAGGTAAGTAAGGAACCTCCTTGAACCAAACATAGTTATCTTATATTCTCCGTTCTTATTTATCTATCAATCTCAACAAAATCTTTCAACCAAACAGCCCTTAGAGTTTCAAGTCCTATAATTATAACGCAGCAATTTAAATACTACTGAAAATATTTTGTGCTCAGACAACAATTAAAACCTAGAGTTTTAGAAATGAGAGTAGGTTTACAGAGATAGAGTGGTGCCCACGTGTGAGACTGCATGTCAGATTGTCAGTGTTAGACTGAGTGGTGCCCACGTGTGGATTGCTGTGTTGTCACGAAGGTAGCAGGCATTCATGACGGGCGGGATATCCGTCATTTGTGAAAGCCGGAAAGGTACTAATTATTTTAAAAAATTTACTAAATAAATTAAATATTAATTAAATAAAATTTAAAATTTTGTTCAAAAATAATCTTCTATACTTTTTATAAAATTTTGTAACTATTTCATAAAAAATAAACCGGATTTAAAGCCATAGTTATTTTTTTTATCTCATAAAATAACTTTATACCCTCTTATAAATTTTTTTATAAAATTAAAAAAAAAATTAAATCCCCTTGCACAATATATATTTTAAAGTAAATACCCTATTGGATCCCTAACAAAAAAAAAACACGGTTCCAACTTTAATTCCTTACAAAAAAAATTAGTGAACTGATCTCTATGAAATTCAAAGTGAACCCAATTTAATCCTTTTGAGGGACTAATATGAATCTTTTTGAATTTTTGAAAGATCACGATTTCAACTAAATAAATCTACTTTGAATTTCTTAAGAACTTCGAGACTAAATTTTTTTGTAAAGTACTAAAGTGAGAACCATATTTTTTTGTAAAGGATCAAAAAAAGATATTTACTTTAATTTTATCAATACGAGCTACATTTTTTTTCCATATCACAAAATAACGTATCGAAATTAAAGAGGCGAGAAACACTCAACCCATATATTATTAACTATTATCATTATGGATTTCCAAACATCTAGTATTCATAACATTCACTTCATTTATCCTAAAAACTATAATTATTAACACAGTACGTTTTTTATACTAATGAATTGAAAGTTCTTCAATTCCGCGGATCAAATTCCATTTAGGTAAGGATGAAACTAGTTTAAAATAATTTTCTTTTGCAAAATCAAGAGGAATTGATTGGAATATAAAACAAGAGTTACGGGATTAAATGCTTGCTGGTTTAGCTGCGAGGCATGAAGTATGATTGCTTTATATATTTGTCTTCTAGCCAAACCCCAAACCAAACCATTGATGTATCGTATCGCAAGAAGGTGCCACTAGCTCTAAACTTCTAAAACCACAAGAACTTCATTTTGCACAATCTACAGGAACATAGTTGAAATATCAAATCAGAGTTGCTGTCAGCTCACCTCAAAGCTGAGGATTGCGGATAGCGAATATGATAAAAACGTCTCAGCTGCATGGTTAAAAGAAGAAACAGAACACTGTTTAATCCCCTCCTTAAATTAGCCACTAAATTGTCGGTTACTTCCGGGTTGGGATGTTTTCTTTAGCTTATAAACAGCCGTAATATGAAAACTTACTCAACAAACTACTGGCTAAACAGGCACGGGTTCTGGTGCCACCTCTGCCCCAGAAAGTCCATTCTTAGTGTTGAAGGGCTTCTCCTCAAGTCCCCAGAACTTGGCAGTTTTCACATCATCCTCAGCCATCAACCGTGAGAACTCTTCATGGTCATACTTTAAAGTAGCTTTCCCCCCAAATTCACTAGGAAGATTATCTATGTCGAAGAGTGATTTCATCAACTCCACACTGTCCTTATTATTAGGATAAACAAACTTCACCTTCTGGGCTGTTTTGGGATCCAGGAAGTATTTGACAGCCTATCAAAATGAGAGTAACTTAAGATTCATCAAATGGAAGAGATGACTATTAAAAACTTATAATCCAACCTCAAAGCTTGTACAATCATAACTGTAATAAGTTTAACAAAATCCATTTAAGACAAGGTAGGTGGACATAAATTTTAAAAAAAACAAGGGAAAAAATAGAAGAGCACACTCATGCTTCTACATGACCCCATTCCCAAAATGAACTGGAGAAGAAAAACAGGTTACATTTTTAAGAAAAATTACATACAATTCAAAATTGTAATTTACTTTAGTACGCTGAAAGCCAACCAAAATTTCCCTCATCTGACTGAAAATGATATGACTTGAATATTCGAGTATATAAAGGATTATCAAATGTTCTAAAAGTTAAGAGTGACACAGAACATAATACACTTAAAAAATGAGAAGGATTAGCCAAGTATTGCTTGATCTTTAAAAGTAAAATATAATGATAGAAACCACTACCATTCAATGTAACCTTCCACCTTAAGAGTAGAAAATCTAAATATAGAGCCATGCAACAATGAAGCAGAACAAATATCACTAGCAGGGCAGGAGAACAAACCTTCCAGAAAGCCTGAAATATTCTCGGTGGATTATACAGAAAAGCAATAGCTAGCCTTTCTGGATAGTGGTTTTGTAAAATGTGAATAATATCACGAGCTGTTTTAATGGGAACATTTGTACTAAGTGAGAATCCTGTGAAGTCTATCAACCACGACATTTGTTCTTGACCTTCAGAAAGATTAATGAGAGCATTTTCCATTAGATAGACTAAATGCCTGATATTATTTTCTGGTGATGCCGTGTTCTGATAAAAGCAAATAGATAAAACAGAGTTAGTTAACTACTTATGCAGAGAGAAGCCTTCTTAACTGCATATAGTATAGCCTTAATGAAAGTACATCCTAGTTCAGACCTGCATCCCTGGCCTCATAATAAGCACAGTCCTCCCAAGTCGATCATGGAAGTTAGCTCTGGAGACTTTGCCTGTCTCACCCTCATGTGCCACTTCAGTCTGCATGAAGGAAATCATTCAATCCTAAATACAGATTTATAATACACGAAACAGAAATATCCATAAATAGGCTATCACTTGTTAATGGCTTCATCTAGTTCTTGCAGGCTATGCAGATATTAAACACATGCAAAAGGTATCATATCATCTTATGGAATTAAATGCATTATGAAGATAATATATAATCATAATCAATTTTAGAAGTATAACTCTACAACTCAGTTTTGACATTTTGAGTAATCTAATATTGAAGTAGTGATTTACCTTTTATAATCCGAGAATTATGTTGCTCAAAGACAAAACTAAATATGTTCGTGGTGTAGACTCAATGAGAGCATCTTGCAGCAAATTACAAGGTAAAAGGACAACATAGAAGAGACATGATGAAGAAATTAATTGTGACTGACACGAGAAAGAACAAAGTAGCACACATATCTTTATGTCAGCCCAAGACAAGTTAGACAGAAGATGCTAAGTATCAGAACTCCAGAAGACTTTGCAATAATATGTTTATCAATCATCATCAATTTGTCAAATCATTAATGAAATGGATCAATGTTACAATTATGAGATGTTCATTATCAATTTCATTTTTGGCATCATCTATTGACCATGTGGGGACCAAAGCCAGAAAAATCAAACTAACCCAACGGATTTCCTCAGGCTTATAGGTTGACCTCCACTTGAGGGTTTCCTCCAGCATTTTCTTGGATTTATCAACATTCCAGTTCCGCGCTTCTAAATATCTCCTTAGACATGCATCTGTGCAATACTTTAACAGACGCCCAGACAGAGGTCCAAGTGCAGCCCTGAGTTCAGCAACCTGTTTGTAGATGTGATACAATTAGTGCTTACAAAAGGCAGCATTCTTTGAATGTGTTTTCACATAGATAGGCATAAATTTTTTGCATTATCCTCACAGGATGCTGTGGAGAGAAGATATAATGCATTCAAAATCACCAGCTATTTTAAATTGGGATTTTTCAAGATCTGATACGGAATTTCTGAGTATGCATAGCTACAAACTGACTCAAAAAAAGGTGTCCCAAAAAATAAAAAATGAGAGAAGTTTGTTTACCTTTGCATCTTGATGTGAGGAATCATTCTCCTGCTGATTCTGGGTTTGCCTTCTAAGAAGGAACATGTTGACTGCCAAATGTAGTTCCCAACCTGCAACAGAAATTTTCGAATAAGATTACTTTTCCTCTTCGAACCAAATATCTATATTACAGAATCATGAAAGGTGAAACATGAGAAGAAAATAATCTGAATCTAGAAAAAATTAAATACACATAAAAATGACATAACCTCAAAAAATAAATAAATAGAATTTCCAATCAAAATAAATAATCCTGCCTGTGCTGTAGTAAATCACATGTTGTGCATTTCACTTGGTATTCAATCAAAGCATACCGAAACACCTTTCAATTTTAATTTAAGAAACTCTCTCCAAAGACAAGCAATAAACAAGTTGACCATAAAAAAAAGTGATTGATTTTTTGGAACAAAAACAAAATGGAAAAAAGCAACCTATCCTGTCTCGTTACAGGACTTTCCCTCGGTGAATCCAACACGTTTTTTTTTTGGGTAGATGAAGGTCAACTTTCCCAACCTAAACTTTTGTGCTTTTCTCAAACCCATCCATGTAAACTCATAATTCAAGAATCACCAACTAAACATAAGAACAGGAACCAACACAATAGAGACAACACCCTGTTTTAACCTCTTACTTTCAAATCAACAAGGGAGTTTCCGCTTCAGAATAACTCACAGTTGGTAGCGTTGACTTAACCCGAAATAATCGTTTTAAATCTGGAAATAGGGTAAAAAAAAAAAAGAATTTCCTCTTAACTCGTACCAATTAATTCAACAGTGAAATTCATACAATCAAACTACCAAAAAAAAAAAAAATCATACAATCAGCATTCCAAACTCAGAAACCAAATAAATAAAACAAATAAAAACCCAAAACTGAAGCACATATAAAAGGTTTCAAATCTAAGGATGCACATATGTGCTGAAATGAGACGCAAAAAAATAATAAAATTGAAAAGCAGAATTACAATTCTTGTGAAATAGCACACAAACCCAGAGAGAGAGAGAGAATAAGTGATTGTAATCCCTTCTGTCGTGTCTCTTGTGTTAAGGCTTACGCGATTTACGCGAATGTCATTTAAAGTGTAAGGGAATGAGGTGCCGCAAAGCCTGACACTCTCAGAGGGGGAGGGAGAGAGAGAGAGTCGTGGATACTATGTCACTCAGAGTAGGTGCCTATTATTTTACTTTTTTTGATTTATAAACATTAAATAACGTCCCCTTCAAATTTAATATCATTTATTACCATTTTGAACGTACTCTATTTTGATTTATAAACATGCGCTCCGCCAGGGGCTCAAGAAAAATTAAATAAAACCATGCGGTGCACGAGAACTCCAAATAGCTCGATAGCGACTCCAATAATGTGATAATATATATGGGTTTGTTTTTTTTTAAATTATTTTAGATAATTTTATCTAATGTTTATCGAAATAACGTTGTTTTGGGACATAAATTATGGTGTTTTTATAATTTTAATTTATTTTATGGTTATAATACTCTTTATTATTCTAATTTTTTAATTTTTCAATCCAAAACGATATTGTTTCGATGAACATTAAACAAAGTTGTCTAAAGTAACATTAGATATTTTTTTCTCAATATATATATATATAAATAATAATAATAAATTTTAATATCAGATTTTACGCGTTACGTCAATTTAATGGCCTCATATTTATTTCAAACTAATTATTTTTTTAAAGATATTCAATTGCTTTCTCACTTTGCAATTAGTCGGATTCAAGATGAATTCTAAAATTAAGATTTTAAACTCCTCCTAAAATTAATACTGAGAAGGATCAAACTAATTTTAAATCGGGCTAAATTTAAAGCGCTTATACACACACTCAAATATAAATACATATAGAAGGGGGATACTATTACTTTTTTCCATTATCTTTTTAATTAGTGTTGGATTAATATTTTTTTACTGAAAAATTTATGAAGTGAAAAAAAAACTTTAATATTATATAATTGAGGAAGGTTATATTTACAAATTTTTTATTTACAAACTACACTATGTCTGACCGGTAATACACTCTTGAGTAGAGTATTACTAGTCAGACATAGGAGTGTCAATATGGGTTTTGACACGCGGGTCGACCCGCGACACGACACGAAAATTCGTGTTCGGGTTGACCCGTAAAAAAATTCGTGTCGTGTTCGTGTTGGGAAAAATGACGCGCAAAAAATTTGTGTCGTGTTCGTGTTTATCAATTCGTGTTCGTGTCGACCCGTATTTTTTTTTTAATTATTATTTTTTATTTTTTTATTATTATTTTTTATTTTTTATTTTATTTTCGATTTATTTTTTTATTTTTTTGTCAATTACCGTTTTGACCCCTATTTTGCGTGTTATTCGTGTCGTGTCGTGTCAACCCGTAAAAAATTCGTGTCGTGTTCGTGTTGATGTATTCGTGTCGTGTCAACCCATATTGACACCCCTAGTCAGACATAGTGTAATTTATAAGTTTGTAAAAAAAAAAAAAAAAATTATCAATATAACCCTGCTCTAATTATGTACTCTTTGAAATACATTCTTATAGTGAATGATAATAGAAAAATGATAGTATGAAAATTTTACCACATATATATATATATATATATATATATATATATATATATATATATATATATATATATATGTGTGTGTGTGTGAGGCAAGATATATTTACAACCAAAAAAATTTATCACCTGATTTTCGTCAATCAAACGGTTATGATTTGTTAATAATTAATAATTAATTAATAAATGCGATCCAATTATTTTCAATAAATTATAACTGTTAGATTGACGGAAATCAATGGTGATTAATTTAATTGTAAAAGTTGTAAACTTTTATGGTGAGAAGTATATCATTCTCATATATATATATATATATATGATTAACATTTTTAATATCATAAAAAATAATGTTATTTTTGTAACCTAAAACAATATTATTTTGGGGTTTAAAATAAAAATTAAAAGGTATTTTAATAAAATACACATGTTAAAATAGAAAGTAAAATTTTCAAATTAAATTTTATTCTTTTATTCTGAACGTCATTTGTATACAAAATCATTTACAAATTGCTTTTAATTATATTTTGTTTTTACATTTAAAACCTTAGAATATATAATGAAGATCTTACAAATTCAATTTATTTTTTTACACTTTTTTGTCTTCAATTTTTTTTAGAAAGTGGTTAATTATTCGTTAAACTTTTTTTTTATCGTAGAGGGAAATATAATAATTACTTTCTCTAAATAAAAATCTGATGATCCTCTAAAATAATTTTTTTTTCTTAAATATGCACTATTAACGGCCATTTATTTTACTGCTTGTCGTCTTTTGTGCACAAAAACAAAGTAAATGGAATATCAAAATTGGGAAATGCAACATATATGAAAAATAAAACTACATCCTACTGACCCCTTGAAAAACGGGTCACACTTTTTGTTTTTTTTTTTCTTCTTAAAATAGTGGGTCCCGTGTAAAAATTGTATGTGCAGGAATCTCAAAATTAATCGAGTAACACGACGGAAGTAAACCCCATCAAAGTTAAGGTAAAAATGTTAGAATATTTCGGTTGATGTTAAAACAGAAAAATATTTCTGTAGTTAATGTAGATAAGTTATCTGTATTTACTTTCAAAACGAAGTCGTTTTGGAATTGAAAGATTAGAAAATTATAATTATAAAGACTATAATAACCCTGAAATAATTTAAAATTACAAAAACACCATGATTTCTGCTCGGTCAATGATTCAGTTAAGGTACTGGGTCATTGGGTCACTGGTTCAACCAGTGAGTCCGCATGACCCGGTGATTATATATAAATCTATAATTTATATTAAAAAAATTATAGATATACTCAAATAGCTGAAAAAAAAATATGAATTTTAAATTTTTTAATATAAAAAATAATAAATTATACATTATTGTCTAATAAAGGATCAAACAAACACATAATGCTTGTTATATTGGTGTTTTAGGTTCGGTAAACGACATCTCTAACTATCAAATCAAAATTCTCTGCATAGTGCATAACTGAGATAATATTAAGATTGTAGGTACATAACTTATGTAAGTCAATAAGTAACAGGTCACTCAAATATGTAAATTATGATTATTTTTTAGAAAACTTTTTTTTTTGAATTTTTTTTTTTTTAAAAACCCGGGCCGGGTCACCGGTTTTTCACCAAAATTGGTCGGGTCGCACCGGGTCGTACCGAGTCTGATACTTGACCGATCCAATATAATAACCGGACCGATCAAATGACCAGTTCATCGGGTTTCAGATCGACCCGGCCGGTCCGGTTTCCACAACAATGAATATGATTGCATAGACAATGCTCTCCACACTCACATGTTTTTATTTATTTACTTAATAGTATATTTTTCTCTCTTTCTCTTTCTATATCACATAATTGGCGGAGTCGGGCTCAAATTTGAGTCCGGGCCAAAAAATTTTAGGTGTACTTATTTTTCTTAATTTTAATTAGTTCATATCATAATATATTTAAATTGGGAAAGGATCCGTTTATAAATATTTTTTAAAATATTTTGCAAATTATATTATATACTCCCGGAAGTACGTAGTGTAATTTTTCTGGAAATAAATAGTATAGTTTGTAAACAAAAATTTTGTAAATATAACCCTCCACATTTAAATTATATTAAATACAGAGCACCTGAGCAGGCAGTATCAAGAAGATTATAATTTTATTAAATTTTTTTATACAAGTAGAAATTGGACACATAAGCTAATATAATTTATCAAAATCTCTTACCAAAAATATTTTAAGTTTTAGATAAGGCTAAATTATAAATTATAGCCCGGGCTAAATTATAATTTTAACTCGGACTAAATTATAATTAATTATATAATTATATATAATAAATATAATTTGTTAAAATTTAGCCCGGGTCGAGGCCACACCCAGGAGTAGGGGTGTTAACGGGCCGAGCTGAACCAAACTTTGGTTTTAAAAGGTTAAGCCTGTATTTAAATGTGTCAGTCTGACCAAGCCTGTTACCTATTATAAATATAACTATCGACCTGTGACCTGGCTTATTTACAAAAAAAATAAAAGTCTTGTTTAGCCTGTTAGTCGGTTTAAAAAAAATAAGACAACAAAAATTTATCCAAACAGAATATACAATCAACAAAACTAGTAATTCCATAAATATTCATAAATTCAATTTAAATCCAAACAACGTAATATAGAATAAAATCATTCAAAAAGTCTATTTAACCAATAAAATGAGATAAAATGGATTGAGGAGAAAGAGAGGGCAATTACAAATAGTATAAAAATACAAAATATAAATAAAAAATAATATACTAGGCCAGCCTGAGAGGTTTTAAGGACGAGTTTTTGAATTGGAGTCTGAGGCCTTTTTATTAAACGAGTTTTTATACAAGTCCAAGTCTGGTGCCAACAATCAATTTTAGACATGTAAGCTCAGGCCTTCATGAGCCGAGCTAAAGGCTCCTGAAAGACCCCTGGTTTGTTTAGCACTCCTACCCAGGAGGTATGTGCCTCCGCCACTTCACATATAATTTTTTTTTTGAAACTCTGTCATATAAATATACCGTCTTAAAAAAGTTACTTCCCACTTTTTGTTAATTTTTTTTATAGTATATTAGTATAAACTTTTTACCTCATTAATTTTAATATATATTTTTCCGGATAGAAAATTTTAATATATTAGTATCTATGTATTCTCCTTTGTCTGATATTGTAATTTCCTCATAGTAGAAAAATTAGAAGCACCACTAGGGTTAGCCTAGTGGTGTGGGGTGTGTGTGTTAGGAGTGTGTGTAGTGTAGGGTGTTGTGTTCAATTCCTTGTAACCTTCAAAAAAAAAAAAAAATGAAATTGGGCATTTATAAAAAAAAATATTACCCAACCGTGAATATAATCAAACTAACTTCAAATTTCTAATTATTTTTTATTAAACTAGTAAATAAGAGTCAAAATAGCGATTCTAACGCAATTTTTTTTTTTTATAATTTTTTTTGTACATAATACGATTTGAAACAATTTACGGACATAATATAAAGATTAATGTTTCTCATATTGTAGGAGATAATTTTATTATCTCCTTCACACATAAAAAATTTATAGGGCCCATACTTTTTTTCTCTCTTCTCTTCACACGA